GAGGCCACGAGTTGATTTTTTTGTCATATCCCCATGTATTTTTATTTGAGCGGTACCGTTTTTCTAGAGAGTCCATAACATATATCAATAATCTTATCCACCCATACATCAGACACATCACCCATCGTGGCCGTGCTCTTACATCCGAGCAGATGCTTTGTGTTGCGTTACGATTTGTTGCAAACGGCAGTTTTCTTTATAAGATCGGGGATGCAGAGCACATTAGTAAGGCCACAATAACAGATCAGGGTCACAGGAGAGTTTCCTTCAGTATCCATACCAGCACTAGAATTTAATTTAGCAAACAGGATGTGATAGGATGAAATCTATATCTGGGCTCTGGAAAACAGGTCACAGTATTAACAGTTAAATAGGCTACATAGTTGATATAAAAATAAAAGAAGGAAAGAAAGAATGCTGACTCTGTACATGTGGTGGACTGAAGGGGGCTTACATTTCAGATGAATGCGGGGATATCTGAGACGTTCTCTTTCATGTGAACTAGCAGTACTTAACAGTGCAAGAACCTAAGTCATGTTTATCAGTACAAGATAAGCACCTAACCGGAAGACGCATGTTAATGAATGGAAGGAAGCTGTGTGGCCTTAAACACATTTGTGGCTCATGTGCTGTGGTTAGAAAAAGTGATGTCAAAGTGTGACTCACCCACACACATAAGATAACAGGAAACGAAATGGATAGCATCTTGTGGAAGGGTAGCGACTAAGCCTCTAAGCCTTAGTACGAACAAGAATACTAAATTAAATCTTAAACTGTGCAAGTTTGTATTTACTGTCAGTCAGTGCATGGCTGTCATGGCAGCCACCTGGTCTGTGTGTCCTCGTTTAAAGAGGACAACACCAGAAATGTGTGTTTGATCAACTATCATTCTAATACACTAACTACACATGCACACAGTGGCATTCAAACCTGTGAAAGAGGTGCGTTTTTTAAAGTCATCTCAAAACATTCACTTTCGATGCATCTCTTCTATATTTACAGTAAGTGCGCGTCATTTACTTTAATTCAGTCCTACAGTTAAAATAAGCGACTGGAGTACTTCCCCAGTATTCTGAAATATAGTCAGTATTATCTTCTGTTCAGTGATGTGATTTGTACCAGTAGGAGACAATCACAGAAAGCCGAGCTGTCCCACAAAAGCAACATCTAGTTGGTATTGGCATATAGAAGAAGATAGTTGTATTGAAAAGATTACAGACGGATTTAGTATCAGCACATTATCAACGACTTTCATGGAATTTTGTGACTAAAAGTAAAAAGTCCCAGTACTGTAATTTGAGTCAGATGTACTCTTTCCAGGTTAAACTTGGTTTCACCTAGTGTTATTACTTTCAGTGATGATGAAAAGGTGTAATACAGCTTAATCATCCAGCAGGAGTCTCCACGCACCACCTGTTACCTGGCCGTCTGTTAGTGATGTCATAAGGAGGACAAAGGAGAGGCACCTATACTGGAGCTGTGATAGAAACTTGGGGGACAAAAGAATATTTCCTTAGTGAAAGCCACTTAATGTAGCTGTAGTTTCATGATAGTTGATCCCCCTGAAGTTTGATGGGGATAGAGTGCTGTAGTTTCTGGTTGTATTTAGCTTCCCGTTGGATATCTGCAAGGCAGTTACACAAGGGAATAAAAATCTTGTGAAAAGTTTTTCTACTGCCCGGTATCAAAGTAATCCAGAGTGACTTTCAAAGCAAGGCCTGTTTCACACAACTGTCCATGTGAGAACAGGCGATTGTCTGGTCCACTTTGTTGTAACATTTGCTAATGAAGGGAGGGTAGAAGACACACAGAATAGAGAAAAGAAGATGGACCGGTTTAATAGAATGACTGGTATGGGGACATGGGCAGGCAGACGTAGGCAAAGAAGGAAGAAGAGAGAGGACTCTTCTCTGTTTTGGTTATTCACGGTCAAGATAAATTGTTTAATAAAGACTGGTGACAAGTCAAGTAAGCAAGTGACAGAACTCAACGCGAAACGGAGGAGAAGGGCACCCTGTCTAGTCAGCTATGGGGAATGGTGGTAAGAGTCTTTCAGCTTGTTATTCTGACTGTGTCTCATTGTGTCAACTTAGACCATATAAAATATGAAGTAGACCTGTGGCTTAAAATGTGAAAGGGTAAAAAAAAAGAATGCTTTTAAAAAGTAAAGCAGAAATGAGCTCTCCATGTGGTTCTGCTATATTTTATGCAGTTCTGTGAGAAAACACAGTGACAGTGTAGATACAGCCTCAACGCTTCACATGATGTGTCAGCTGTAATTTAGCTTCTTAAACTTCCTCCATACTTGCCATTTCAGTGTCTCTTCAGACTGCTAATAAAGCCAGGGCCAGAATTTTCCTCAGAGGTTGATTTTCCAATCTCATTTAATCAGAGTGAATATTCATTCATACGGAACAGATATGCATCGATCTATTTAGGCCCAGGCAGGCAGCCAGACAGATTGTTTCATCTGGTAGTCGTTTACGTCTGAAATATAATACCCTGTAAAATTCTGAAACAACCTTTTCCTCATTCAGCTTGTTTAGTGGCTTCTATGGTGGTCTTTGGAAATGTATTAATCTGTGCCTATGACCTAATCATTTATCTGTGATTGTATTTGCAGTGAGCACGGTTAATCCAACGGCAGTTGGGATCCTTGTGGGTTTTGGTATTCTGGCAATCCTCTTCACCATTGCCATTATACAGTTCTGCTGCAAGTACAAGTGCAAAAAGTGTTGCAAAAAGTGCTGCAAAAAAAAGAGTGAGTAGATTTTTAATGAGCTATAACTAAACATACTTTCTCTCTTATCTCTAGTGGTATTGATTTATGCAAATATTTTGGCCTTTATTTCACCTGGTTTGGAGAGAAGCATCGCTGCTTCCTCCACAAAGCAATGGAGGTGAATAAAACTTTGCTGTGGTCTACAATATTATCTCACTGATTTGGTTATTTTAATAATAATATGGTAAAAAGACCTCCATGAAAACCTATTATACATTAGGAGCTGCCTTCTGCCTAAAAAAGTCCCTCCTTATTATAAAAGCAGTTGACATTCAGAGAAACAAGAAAACTGAATCCAGCACTGCTGCTAGGGAATTCATTCTTTTGTACTTTGTGTATAAGTTCTATACCACAAATTTAATTCATGTATTGGAGTAGAGGCACAAATCTCAGACCTGAGCAAATAAAACCAAAACACTTTACATGGCTTTGTATTTTGGGTGAATGGACCCTTTAATATACTTGGGTACTTGAATAGGCCTTGAGAACATGTACACATATGTGTCCACATGGCTGACACAGCCCAACACTAAAACGACAACATGATGAATCTGTCATGCTCTTGTCGCACATAAACACCTATTCCTTGTCTCCTCTTACTCTGTAGAGCCTTCATTCAAAGATAGAGTGCTCACGTAAGTGGATTTTTCCTGAAAGGCCTTTCAAATAAACCATTTTATTTCCTCCATATATTTGCTTTATGTTTCTATGGGTAAACTTGGTGTGCCTGGTCTCTCAATCTACAGCAGGTTTGACATCAAGAAGTCTCCTTCTCCCTTCAGCATCAGTGGGTCTGTAAAATAACAACAAATGTGGTGGCAGTTAAATGTGACAACCCCAACACTTGAAGGAACGCCCCTCGTTTGTCACTTTCCTGTACACTGCATATCATCCTCTCACTTGTCAGCTGTCTGGTACTGTTTTGTGTTTTGCTGCTTTGATTCCTGTTAATGATTGAACCTGAACATTGAGAAGGGAATTTATCATATTATTTTTAGATTTTTATTTTTTATTTTTGTTTGATATGACACTTTCAAATCACATCACTGCCTCTTGGTCAACTTTTTAGCAGTGGTGGAAAGTAACTAAATACATTTACTCAAGTACTGTGCCTAAGTACAGTTTTGAGGTATCTGTGCTTTACTGGAATATTTTTTTGTGCTAATTCAGACTTCACTACATTTTAGGGACAAATAATGAGTTTTTTGCTCCACTACATTTATTTTATACATTTAGTTACTAGTTACTTTTCAGAACCAGATAATACAAAAATTACAATATAATTAGAAGACTTTATTGATCTCCGGTGGAAAAGCAGTATGTACAGTAAAGCAGTAAATTAAATGCATATAAGCTAGTTAAAACCAGCTCCTCCTTTACCAGCTGCAATATTAAATGTGATGTACATAAAAATGCATGAGTAATTATAATACAATAATATGAGATACATTAATGTGAGATGTGCCATTCTGCATATTGAGTACTGTTACTTTTAGTACTTTAAGTATGTTTTGATGCTTATGCTCTATACTTTTACTTAAGTAATATTTTAAATGCAGGACTTGTATCAGAGTATTTTTACACTGTGGAATTGTTACCTTTACTTAAGTAAAAGTAAGAATTCCACCACAGCTTTTTAGTTGTGTCTTGGAAATAAAAATGTCTGTTTTGTCTTGAAACAAAAAGATAAGTATTGTGTGTTATTGTGTATACAAAATTGTATATTTATGTAATTTTAATGTAACTGTAAAAATGGATTAAAATAAATGTGTGAGCATTTAATATCTTGTTGCAATTGAATTTTTTTTTTAGTTTCGCTCTTTGTCATGAGAAATTGGCAGTTTAGCCTGTTGTGGCTTCACATGCTCACATATGAGTGTACACAGACGCACACACCACAGAGAAACAGATGCATGCACTGTTCGGCTTGTGTTAAAAATTTCTGAGGCAAAATATCAACAGCAAAACCACAACGACCAGGCAGATCTGCTTTCTTGAAACATGTGGGTGAATTCCCTCTAAGTTCACATATTTGCCACCTTTTGATACTCTTGGTCGTTGGTAGAGCTTTATTATCCCATAGCTTTTTAAAAATGAAACAAAAACATTGCTCAGGTGTTTTTCTGATATGAGGGACTAAAGGGACTAAAGGTCATAAGGGCCACACCTGTTCAGTCAAAAACAGTCACAACTTAGACATTCATTTGTTAATATAATTATTTTAGTTTAACTTACGACTCCTGTTTCTGTGTGTCTTATGGGGCTGCTATGTTTAAATTGCATTTTTTCTCTGCATTTCTTCCTTAAGGTAATTTTTTTCTGCCACTGTTGTCACAGTCACAGGCCATGAAAATCCCAATTCAGTCAAAGTGGGGTGGAGGTAGGGCGGTTGTCTTCTGACCAGCAAGTTGGTGGTTTGACTCCCAGTCTACCCGCATGCCTAAGTGTCCCTGAGCAAGACACTGAACCAGTTTGAAAAAAGAGTTTTTTTCTACATTTAGAATCCAAAAGTTGTGTCACTTCCTCTCTAATGCTGCACATAGAGAAGTAGGTCTACCACTGTCAGGATTCTGCTTCTTCTCAATAAAGAATGGGATGAACAGCTAATGTGAAGATAAAGTACAGTATATATTTCACTGAGATTAATCTTGAGTATCTCTGAAATTTCAGCCCTGATGATAATATTGTGTCTCTTTGCTGTAAATGTGTGGGGCTTTTTTTAAACGGAGTGAAAGCCAGTTTAAGGAAGTGTTTGTTTCTTAGTTTAGAAGCTTCGAAACCACTGCACTGGTTCCTGTACAGAATTTACATGTGGGGATCCCAAGCACAGCTATATGACTTATGTTTACCTTTCCAAAAAGGTATAGCTTTGTTGTTTCAGGGTTTTCCTTGTGTTTTCCTGAGTCATAGTTTCTGAAAACCCACGTCATGTAATTTCTTTAATGGCTGTATTTTCTCTGAAAGTATGAAATTTACAGCAGACTGCATTCCATTTGTTTAACCACATTTAGAAGAGTGTGGTCATAATATTCAAAGCAACATACAATAAATAGGCAGCTTTTCACAAAGCATAAATTACATAATTTATAAAGAGCAGCAGCTGGATGACAGGTTGTTATGGAATAGGACATAAGGTTGAGTCAGAGAACATTAGAAATAATCTTAACAAATCATCCTATGCATAACTGAAAATAGAGAGAGAAATGTTTGCCACTTAATTCTGCCTGTTAGTTTGCTATCACATGGTACTGAAAAGAAATGACCTGACAATACTGATGACAAGTGAGAAATGATTCCACTTAAATTATCTTACAATTATTATTATCATTTTTTTATATTTAAAAAGAAGAAAAACCTTTCAGAAACTTTAACAGTGGGTTCCCAAAGTCAAGTATCGTTGTTGGAGGAGGTGAAATAACAAAATGCCCGAAGACACTTACGTGTCAGACTGTTTCTCTGCATTGCTCCCCACACTAGTTTCACTTCCTGCATGTCACACTTCAGTTGGCTGCACATATAGGTTTGAATAATGTCTTTGACATAGTAATTGCTTACTGTTTAAACTCATAAGACTCTAACTATCAGCTACCAGGCAGCAGCTGTTTGATCTAACCTCTGTTTCCTTTCTATCTTCAATAACAAGGTGGCAAATGCTCTGTTTCCTACCCATGGTTCTCTATTTTCTCCTTCATAGTTCCAAAACATGAAAAACACCACATAATGTTTCTAATTCATGATTCAAAAACATGGGGATAAAGGGAGTGTATGACTCCAGCATGGCTCTCAGATAGGTTATGTCAGCATCATTGTATAAAAAGCACTGTTACATTCCACGGTGTATCAGTCAATTGTCAGCTGCACGTCGCAAAGGGAGAGGGACACGTTGTTCATATTGAAGTCCTGTCCTCCCTCCATTAGTGGCAGGGGTGTCAGAGCTGTTAGCAAAGGGAAGGTCTCCCCTTGTTGAATAAGAGTGTGTTCAAAGTCATCCACTGTAACAGTGTCCATTTGTGGTTTTCTACAATGACTTGAAAGTGTAAGCCCTGCTTTGTAAGTGTCCACAAAATCACATTTGCTGTGCAGTAGTCCATTTTCAATACACAGAGCTCTGTATTGTTTGATAACTTCAGGTCCATAATGGCCTTGTTTGTGGCACCAAGTGCACTGGCCTGCTCCTGAACAGATGCACGTTTGAGGCCCAGCCCTGTAACCAGTGATCACTTCGGCCAAAGCTGTGTCTGGAAGCATCTGTTTAAACATCTCCTCATCGTCACAGGCCTGCACAGCAGAGGGGCTCTGGCTGCGATAACTACCCCCAGCTACAGAGTCCTTCAGAAATCTACTGTCCTGTTCATCCAGATTCATGGAAGAAGAATCAAGCTGGAAGCCCAGTCCCACGCCACTGTCCTCCCTCTTAGTATCAGTCCCCTCATCCTGCAGGGGGTAATTGGCCTGACTGCCGGTGGAGCTCTCTGGTCCTCCCAAGCTCCCACAACCACTGTCCTCTTGTCTCATCAGAGGACTTCCTCCATTGTCTGTAGCAGCATTCGACTTCATGCTGATCCCGCTGTCCATGCTTGTCCTCCTATCCTCCTCTCCATTGTCTTCTGTTACCGTAACATGGGCCATTGGGTCTTTGACACAGTTTTTCATGTCTGTTGTGTAGCTAGACAGGAACCATCCTTTGTCTGTAACAACCTCTATCGTCCCTTGTTCAACAGACACTGGAAGCCAGCCACTTACAGGGTTTTTCTGGAATGAGAAATGTGAGAAATGTTGTAGCATTAGTCATAGTTTTATGACGACAATTTGAGGAACAAAATTATTTAGACCTATGAGCCATCTCAGGAAGGCTACAGTATATCAAACAACGTGAGGGCATTTACAACCAAGTTTTCCAATTTTCTGTAATTTAACATCCTTACCAACACAGCAGGTGTTTTCTCTGGTCGTCTCAGGTAACAATGGAGGATAGCTGCTATGATAGCAATGATGAACAGTACACCCGCAACAGACAGGGATGATACAGCAATTATGAACCATTCTGAAAATAGAAAAAGGGCCAGATTAAAATATTTTATAGGACGGCCTCAGCCCTGTATGATATATATGAAGCTATCACCAGTAGTTTGTTAGCTTAGCTTGGCACAAAGTTTAGAAGGGGTAGGGGTTTACAACTCCACAACATATTATAGTTTTATAGCAATATATGTGCTGGATTAAATGAATAAATTACAGTGTTCAAATTACTGAGCTTTAGAGGTGCTGGCAGGCTGTTGGTACTTTACAAAACCAGGCAGCTAGCCAGCTGCTGACCATAGCCTTAAATTTAGCCTACAGACACAAGACTGGTATTAATTTTCTCATTTAATTGTCATAAGAAATGCATACAAGTATTTCCCAAAATGTTGAAATATTTTTTTAAGACTTCGTAAACAATGTACTTGAATTTTGCAAGTGTAGGTGTGCATCGTTTGCCCTGCCTATTAGCACCAATTGATACATAGATGTGCCATATTAATTTTATTGTTGGCAGATATAATTTTTGGTCAGAAATGTAGATGGAATAGTTGGTTTTATCTTTATAGTGAAATGTAAGGTCATTTGTCCTTTTTTCAAATGTTTTCTAACCTTGATCTGGTAGCCGCAGACACTGTTTAGGGGACAATCTGCTCTGGTGGAGAGCTCCACTGCCCTCTACCTTGATGCTGATACAGTACTCTGTCCCCCACTGTAGAGAAGTGAAAGTCTTCAGTCTCTGATCTTCCTGCATGTCGTCTTTCAGGAATTCTGTTATATTCTGTAGTGTAAAAATCAAAATGCCATGCAGGTCAAGAGACTGTACAAGATAACCACAGATGAGTAAAGTTCAGAGGTCGATTCAGACATGAATAAATATTATAATATTGTTTTAGTGGATCATTCACTTTATAAGGGCCCAATCAGGACCATAAAACATAAATTACAAGTATATTCAAATATAAAATGAAAAATGAGCTATTGTCTGTTTCTCAGATCAGCATAATTGAATATATAGCCATGATGTAGCAGCATTGATTAGATAACAAACATTCACATTTGGATTTATTAGACTGAGCTGTTGTGTAGTGTCTTTACCTGTGTTTTTAAAAATCCCAACAATCAATTTCAGGGTGTTACAATCAGTCCAAATCTTGTTTATTTATTTATTTGTTTGACCAATATTTTACCAAGGGAAATCCCATTAAGATAAACTTGTGGTTTGAATGTTAGTGATAGGATTGCCAGTTTCACATTCTGTTCCTTTGAACCTAATTCTGATGCCCACCTTATCTTGTTCTCTCTCCTCCAGGTAGACGGTGTAGGTCAGCCCATAAGGAAAGAGCTCTCTCAGAATGGGTTTCTGGTGAACATAAACTGATAGAGTGCTCGAAGTAGCCCACAGATTGAAAGAGGGAGGCTGCAATTCACCTACAGGAGCAGAGAAAGGTAATTACTTAACCAGCCAAAATGCAGTACTTTAATCAGACCACAGGGACATAAGACCAAAGTGAGAACTACTCTTACTTTCAGTCAGGAGAAATTTCTTCGCTGTCCACTGAGACACTTTATCACCTGCCACCAGCTGAACTTTGACCTTGTAAGCACTTCGGTAATCGGCACTTATAAGACTACTGAGATCACAGTAAGTGTTTGTGGTCCCTGTGCAGCTGCCAACACTGACCCATTCACCATTGAGCCTGAAAACAGAAAACACACCAGTCACCAACAGGAAGGAGTGGAATCCTTAAATAATACAAATGAAATAATAATAATAAAATCTATCAGTTAGCCAAAAATGATATGTTTAAGAAGAAAACACAATCAAGGACGTCAGAAGTAAAAGAAAAAAAAAGAAGAAACTGGGAAATTTGAATTGCAAAATAACAGGAAATTGGTGAACTGGACTGTAACTATGAAGCAAAGACGTTATTACTGATATTTTGAAGATAAACATACTTTCCCATTTGCACATTGTACTGGGAGTCTTGTGGGGCGCCCACAGGATGTTTCCAATGTACTATCACCTCCTCATCCAACATAGTCACCATCATTTTGTCAGGCTGAGGGATGTCCAGTCCTGCCACAGAAAAAGTAGGGACATTATGATGAACTGTACATTCACTGCTTAATTTTACAAAACAAAAATTCCAAATAAAGTGCTGTTGTGATTTCATACTGCTCTGTGAAGTCATAGACCTGGTCTCTGTGTGCTAAGTAAATGCTTAATTGTGAAGGATGTGGTCAGGAGGAGAAATGGAAATCTGGCTGACAAGCAAATACGGTAACCTTGTAAATCACTCAGGGGATACAGTATCTGATCATAATGACAATGTGTGCTTTTTGGAAAAGTGAACAGAATTTTCATTTACCAAAGAGGAACAGCAACATTTACAAATTATGGTCTATGCTAATTATGCTAAATTCTCTCGCCTGATGTTTTCAAAATGGAAACTACATCAGATATAGGTTGGTGTCATCATATAAAATTTTACAGAATATTTGACCCGCAACATTTGTGATACATTTATGACTGTAGCAATGTCATTATGATAAATAAAAACAATTGTCAGGATAGACATAATATAAATATGTTAGCTTAAATTAATGACAAAAGATGAAATCAAACAAAAACAATTAGAAAATGATATAAAAGCTGTTATTTACCTGACACACAGCTCACGAAGATAATCAGTAGGACACAAATTTGTGTCTTGTTGATCATATCCATTTCTGGTATCTGGCGAAATATCTTCATTCAGTCATAATAAGTCCCTTATTCCAGTTATCAATGAGGCAAATGAGACTCTAGCAACACCTCTTCGTCTCAGCTGCTCAGTATAATGGGTCAGTTGACCATGAGAGAGTTGAAGACTGGCTGCTCATCTGTGGAACAACAGAGAGGCAACATCTTTTTCCCGAATGACGTTATTTACATAGTTCTCCCCAGATACCTTCCTCTCTTGCTCAGTTCCCCTCCCTCTCAGATGATGTGTTTCCTGTTGTGACAGCATCAGCGATGCTGCTGTTACGTTTCTTTCTGTTTAACTTCTCTCATTGAGACTTTTCTTTCCTCTTTTGCTTTTCCCCCTTTCTTCACTCTTAGCAGGTTTGCTATGTTCAAAAAACACTGTTGGACTATACTCTGAAACAAGAAAAGGGAAATGTTCATGAATTCCCCTTTACATTTTGAAACTGTATGCAGTAGTTTTTAGAAAGCCTGTGTTTTTATCTTAGTTTTATCCAGTGGTGGAACTAAGAACATTTACACTTTTGAGGTATTTGCACTTTACTTGAGCATTTTCATTTTCTGTTACTTCCTACTTTGACTTCACTACATTTTAGAAGCAAGTATTGTACTGTTGACTCCATTATATTTATTTGATAACTTTGGTTACTAGATACTTCACAGAATACCCACCAGTACTTAAAATTATAAGCACACTGTATAAGGTAGTGAATGCGTTGTACACAATAATGCATCAATAGTTATAATCCAAGTAATATAATATTGATTTGAAATGTGCTATTTTGCATAATAAGTAATTTTACCTTTGGTACTTTAAGTATATTTTGATGCCAGGAGTCTTGTACTGTAACATTTTGAATCCAGGACTTTTACTTGTAACAGAGCATTTTTTCATTCTGCTATTGTTACTTTTACTTAAGTAAACAATTTCAGTTCTTCTACCATCACTCGTACGAAAAAAAAAAGAAAAGACAGTGAACCGGTTTCCATCTTTTTTTGCCTGCTTTTGACTTTGTTACAGTTCAAGTTTCCTTTCCTGTAAGTCGGTATTCATAAAACCTCAAATGTGGTTCATAGCATTACAGGTGGTTTAGCAATGAGCAGTGGCTGTGAGACGCATAGAGGCAACTAATAAGACACATTAATGTACTTAATTAAGTTTAATTAATATGTTTATGTTTCAAGTTTGACATGCAAAACATACATGAATAAAGGGTATAATAGAATAGAGAAGCCACTGCATGATTTGTTGATAGCTATACGTTTATATGCAACATAAACATAAGATTCCATAATAAATCTATGCATTAGGAGCTCGATATTTATTTATCCAATGTCTGAAAATGTCCCATGAGTAAGTTATAAGGCCATGACATTAAGAGAGCTGCAACCTGGGAACCTAATCTTCACATTTCAACATACTCGTAAACACAGCAGTTATAAGTTTTATGCAAATTTCAAAATAACACATGTGATGTAATGGCTATTGTGAGTAGATGTTTATAACACAACTGCCTGATGATCTTGTTTTATTAAATAAATACAAGTTAACAGGACATTTGTCTCATCGTGAAAAGACCAAAGTCATCTTGTTGGCAGGATCAGAAGTCAATCATTAGTTGATGACTTGTTTTATTTAGTTTAAACTCTTAGAAATGTGTCAGTATTGGAATAAACAAAAAACCCAGTTCTTCTGAGAAAGCAGTTTTCTTTTAATTGCAGCAAAATATATCACTTCAGTTTCCCCTTTTGTTTCTAATTTCTTGTTCACACGTGGCTGTTCAAGCTTTAGTTCCTGGTAAATGCAGTAAACCATGTTTCTATTTATTAATGTCACCTTTCAATTTCTGTTTAACAGATATGCAAGGAACTGCTGACTAAAACCAAAGTGTGGGAGCTCTATTTAAAGGTCACAGAACAGCAGCTGCTTTTGTTCAGAAGACGGACTTTTCTTTCAAGTAATTTGGTACAGCACATGGCTGGTTACTGCATGCACATTAAAAGAAACTGTATATAACATCACCCTCTAGTGGTGTCACAAAGTGAACACATCTTCATATTGAATATGCGGTGATGCTTCTCAGAAACTCAGTATATTGTTCAGTATCTCAGTAATGATCAAATTTAAACACCCACACAAAGGTTTACAAAGTTTTGGGACATTATTGGTCTTTCTAAATTCAAACCTGGGATACTGTGGTTAAGCAATGTGCAGCTTGGAGCACAAGGCCATGACAATGTCTTTTATCCATAATGTCTTGTTGTTTAGCATAAGAGAAGCTGCTCAGCACCGCGTCAATAGAGGCTGAGGTCCCGCTTCTCAAAACCCACAAGTTAAATTGGTCCTGGTAAGGCCTGCAGATTGTGCCACAATGAAAGATGCAGGCAAATCATACAATGAGAAGCAAAATCACCGTAAACAGTGGAAATCTACAAAGGGGGACCTCCCATGGGCTCTCCAGAGGTTGGGCAAGGACAGATCAACAAGACATTGTGCTAACGGCTGGGGAACAGAAAATAGTAGTTGTGACAGATATTTTAATTTCAAATGATGATAAGAGGGAAAACAGAAAACTGGAGAAGCTTTATGGGAAACTAGAGATAATATGGAAAGTGAATGTAAAAGTGAACACAGACGTGGTAGGTGAGAAAGGTCTAGAAAGAACATCTGTGCAGAAAGGCACTGCTGAGAAGTAATGAACTACATGTAATCAAACTAGTAATTTAACTACATTTTGCAGCAGCTTGCTGTTGGTTCCACTACATTCATGTGATTCAAGTAGTTCGGTTGCCTTTCTGCCATTTTTGTGTAAATTGCTGAAACTACAAACAATTATAGGTCATCAAAGGAAAGAAACCATTTTTTATTTTTATTTTATCATTGAGGAACCACCTGTTGGATAAGAACTTCAAGGGACTGGTCATGTAGCATATAAACAAGAGATTCTGCTCTGACAAGTACAAATTAGGCCCATTACTTAGACCAGTGTTTGAGCTGTTCATACTGTCTCAAAAGGTACTAATTGAATATTGTTATAGTTGTTAAGACTGTAACAAGTTAGATGTTACAAAACTGACAAGACAACAGGCCCATTTTTATACCAGTGCTCACGTCAGTCAAACGGCCTAAAAAGGTGCAAGTTAAATATTTTTTTCTTTACTGTTTCAGTTGTAGTCAGATAATACAGAGTCCATATTTGTTAGCAACAAAAATATCAAGTGTCCTGCAGCTTTGTCCTTATGAAACCCCCGATGGGACTGTTTTATTCAGAGCAAGTTTGGGTTTCAGGTAAATTCAACTGAGTGGCATTTCTGCTGGTGTGTGACTGTTTTGCATTATATTTTGATCTAATTTTGTGTCACATGTACATTGTCAATCTCACCATTTTTTTGTACTTCTTCTGGACTGGAGGTAATGGTAGCTTGCAAAGCTACACTTTCAAAGTAGCTTCCCCAACACTGCAGAAAGGCACCGTTGTAGTAACAGCAAAGATGCTGTATACAAACCTGACATTCTCTGACTGAGGCTAAAGAAAACACTCAACGGCCCATATTAATGAGTAGGGGAACATGTATTAAATATTATGACATTTACAAATTTGTAGACACAGTCATTTGCTTTGTTTTCAGGGTACACTGACAGGGCTCATTGTTATCCAAACTGCCAGCTCATGTGCTGTAAAATGTATAGGTAAGGTGTCCTGCATTTAACTGAAATGTTGTAAAGTTTCATTGTAATTAGATATGTCAGGGCCCTGACATCCCAGCTGCTGTAATTTGAGCTTTGATGCTGTTTTATATTGTGAGACCAACTTGATGGCTGCCATGAAACCGGTTTGGCAGCTGGGCTGGGCCCAGCTGGGCCCATCCATCTCTGCAAGGAAAAGAATGAAAGGAACTGTTGGATGCTGGAGGTGGGAGGAGGTAGGCGTGAAGGGGAAAATACACCTGCCTGTTATTGTTTGGATGAAGGTCATTGAAAAACTCATAGTCAAGCTGAAAAGAGGCACCACAATGCTGTAACCATTGCTGTGTGACTGAGTAAACACCTGGATGTGAAAAATTAACCGCCACCTGCTCTCACCTCCTCTCTCCACTCTCTGCTGCCCTGAGTCAGATGGCAAAGCATGACCCGGTAGGTTCTCTTTTTGGACATCTTATTCACTTAAAACAAAAACCCCTTCTTCCTGCTACAGGCTGTATCTTAAGTTTCATTCTTGTCTGTCAGTGTATGTGGGCTCCAGAAGGTTGAGGGTTGCTGTGGTTGTGTCTGAATTATAGGCAGAGGTTTGGTTTCAGTTTACCCGCCAGACAGCAGGTAAGCAAGAGATCTGAACGTCCTGTAGGTTTCGCCTGTGTAACCTGTTAAAGTCTTGTCAAAAGGTTTTGTCTTTATTTTCTATAGGGCAAAACATTAACACTTTGCTTGAAGGTCTGCAGAACACAGTTATTTATCTAATACTGAAATTCAGTTTTCCAAAGTATAGCATGTAAATCCACACCATGAGCTACAAAGCCCTGTATTCAGCTTTGTGACATTGTGTTTTTCACATTTATCGGTGGGTTTTTAATGGTTATCTCAGCACATAAAGGAACACTGTTGCTTTTATTTATCCTGTACTTAAGGCACCTACTGTACATGTAAAAACAATGCTCTGTTAGAGTTTTTATGTGTCTGGAAAGTCTTCGAGATAAAGGGTTGTATGTTAGTTACAAAACCCTTTGAGGCAACTTAAAGGATAAGGTTGTTCATTTTCTTTATTAACAGTACAGAAACTAAATCCAACAATGATTTACCTATACTCAGAATTAATGTCTGTCAGTGTGTCAGTCCTGGATTAGTTTATTTCCTCAGTGCCATAGACCTCCACTGCGCAAAACACACTTTAAATGTCCATGTGAACCCTTAACTGCTCTTTTCCCCAGTATTCAATAGGCAGGCTATGTAATATGATTAATGTGTAATCTGCTAGGAAATATGATAAACGTGCTCCTCCACCTATTTCACCTCAGCCATTTTACTTCAATTGAGTGGGTGTGGTCCCTGGATGTATTTTAGAACTCGATCAGTGTAATCTTATGAAACACCTTTTGTAGCGAGTCCCTTACGGCCTTCTCAGTGCCACAGCAGCAGATTAATTCCTTTCTTGTTTTGACAAAGGATCTTTCCCACCATTTATGAGGGTGTGCTGGGAAGTAAACATAGCTTTCTCTGCACCGGGGCTGGTTTTAGCCTTTGAAAAGACCAGGAGCTAAAAGAAAATGACCCAGGGCTTGTTGTTATTGAGGAGGGATATGTGTTGGCTGGAAAGGTTATACCAATAAAAATTATTTTCACAGGAGAATGTTATGTACAACAAAACCTATAATTGCTATTGTTTTGTACAATGCTCACCATTTGTCTTCTTATATGTCTCTCAGTTCTTTCAGTCACTGTCCATTGAGCCTGTCTTGCTGGCCCTAGTAAAAATATTGATATTTATATACGGTTACTTCATTAACCCTGCTTATGCCATACTATAAAGGCGCAGCTTATCAATTGGATTATCATGACTTCCCTCTGGGTTTGTCCCTGTCTGACCTTCCCAGTATCTGTTCCTACATGAGACAAATAGATATTGCTCCCTTCCCTCTCCTTCCATCCTACACTTTTGATTTCTATTTTCTTAAAGTTTATTTCATTTTTTGTATTTTTCTGTTACATCTCTTATTATCTGCTGTTGATTTTAACTCTCTTCTCCATTTTTAACCAGTGTGCTGCTGTAAAATTAGTCTTTGTTACGGTGTTCAACAGGACTAGGACCCTCTATGTAAACCAGGACTCAGTAGAAGTTAGAAGGTCTTTATTGACAGGAAAAGGAGAAACTGAGGTGTAACTGTGGTACCGGGAGCACTCCGATGAGTCAGACAGGTAGGGGAGACTTAGATGGAGCTGGGGACGAGGCAGGCAGGCTCGAGGAACACAGGTGAGTAGCAAAGACAAGACTGGGGAAGACTCACACAGTGTATGCTTCACCTTGGTCCTCTGCTGCTGAGTGTTCCTGGTCCTGCAGCTTCACCTTAGCTCTCTCCAGCCTGTCTGGCTCCCCTGAATGTTCCGGGCACCACGGTGACTCGCTAGTTCCTTGTACGTTTTTCTGCTAAAGACTTTCTGAAACTTCTGTCAAATCCTGGTCTGCATTTGGATCCTAGTTCTGTGTGCGCATCATAACATACTTCCATTGCGCTTCTTTTTGTTTGCTGCATTTTAATAAATCGGTACACATCTGCATGCTGCACCATATTTGTGAAGGGAGGAAAATGTCACACTTGGCAACGACCAGGAGTATAAAGAACACAGCCCACAGAAACCCAAGCAAGGCGGAACTTAAACAGTTTCTGTCTGACAATAGCTTTGCTTTTTGAGCATCCAATAGTATCATTCATTGTTTAACATATACACTTAATTATGGATCTTCAATTTTCTTCTTGTAAAAGCCACTAGGAAGAGATTGCTTTTTCCATCCATTACTTTTCATACCTGTATACATTTTATGTCACTACCATGGAAATTCCTCTATCTGCCTTCCTCCTTCATGTGCAGCACCAGCTTACTCTCTCCAAAGTTCCACTCTCAAGCAAAGTTCCGCTCTCAAGGTCAACAGTGACCTGGTTCTACTTCTCTTTTTATCTATAGAACAACAGAAGCAATGTAAATGACTCGTCTCAAGCTGGTTGCCTATATTATTTACTATAAACACTGTTACCAGGTGATCAGGCAACACTGTGCTCACACAACTTTAGTCACATAGCAAACTGGGTGATTCAGGAAGTTGTGGGAACTTCCTTTCCACATACCACAAAACAGCACAGCACTATAAAAAATGCAGTAATAATTGCACATGAATAAAAGAATTAAGCTTTTTCACTCGCTTGCTAGAAATTAGACAGGAAGAACACTACCACGCTCATGTCTGCATGCTTAATATGATGCTAGTGCCTGCAGTCAATTAGCTTAGCAATAGGACTGGAAACAGAGAGAAACAGCTATAGTCTGGCTCTGTCTGAAGTTACAAAGTCAGTCGACCGGCACCTCCAAAGCTCACTAATGTACATGCTATACTAAACCAGAGGGTAAAAACACCATGTTGTGGTGTTACAGGGATTATGTTCCTCAGTATTTCTTGGCCAAGCACAGTAAAAGCCTTGAGCCTCTGGGATATAACAAATGAGATATAATATATTAATTACTGAGCTTTGGATGTGCTGATCGACTGCCTTTGTAACTTCAGACAGAGCCAGACTATAGCTGTGTCCCTCTGTTTCCAGTCTTAATGCTAAGCTAGTTGACTGCAGGCACTAGCAGTTTAGCTGTTTCCTCTGTTTCTTTGTGATGAAACTAGAAAATTGCCTGCTGGCTTTAGTCATCAGTTTAGTGTGCAGAAATGTCAGTTGCTATCAATCATTTGTGAGCAAATATTAACCTACCAGTCCCAAAAATTCAAGCACTGATTGAGTCCTTGTTGTGATTACTGGGAGTTGCAAATCAAAAAGGACAAATGGGAAAGTGGAAATAGAACAAAGAAATGATCTATGGAAACCTGATATTTTAGACACGGCTATATCACCTGTGCCTTTGTGTGTATGATTGTTAGCTAGGTGTAGGTTTATATTGATAGCAGTGCTAGGATTTCATGGAGGACAATAGACTATGTGCTCAGTCATGGCAAACAAAAATATGCAAGTTGTTTGCTGCCCTATTGTCTGTGGTGACATTATTATAAATTCTATAGTATGGTTTCTTGTGTATGAGGGTAGTAGGTGACACAGTAATGAACAAAGACTTCACATTGTGTTTTATTACAAAAAGCGATTTCATCAATATAATGACCTCGCCATAGTTATTGACTTTCCTCCCATCTTTTCTGTCTTTTCTTCACAGAACGACACCCCTCCTCCTTACTTCTCTATTGCAGCATATACCCAGCCTCCCCTTCCACGCTATGGGGAGGCGACGTGTGGTGTGGCTCCTGGCCTGATATTTCCTACTCAACCATGTTATATCCCCCAGCATCCACCATCTTATCCCCAAGTCGCGCAGTCAAACGTTCGTGAGTGGTATCAACAACTCCCATTCCACACCTGATTCAGATGCTGTTGAGGATTATTAATAAATGTTTTGTATGTTTTTGTGTTATTTGTAACCAGCCCCCAGCCGTAAGAAGAACAAATGCTGTGAGTGCAATGCACAGTGCTTCCGAGGGTCAGGAGGAGGGTTACTGATCTGCGCTCTAATAGCAGTGGCCATTTGGCTTTCAGGTATACTTTGTTTAATTATACAGATCACTGCACATTGCCATTAATATTTATTTTTTAATCTATTGTAATTTAATTAGAAATATGTTACTAACAATGTTTCTGGTTCCATTGTGGTTCTAATAATAGTAGTTTAAAAAGGGCTGCAACTTGGAACAAAATTATTTATGATATATAATGCCTTACGTAGCAGGAATAAGACATTAATAAAAACAACATATTGGTTGCCAGGTTCTGAAAAACACTGGCCGCAGTATGTTTTTGCACATGTCCAGTGTTATAAAAGACAAAATCATACATGGGAAGTAGTTATTGGTACTGAAATAATTTTAAAAATAATTGCTTATATTCATTAAGGGGCAGAAGTTTCCTTTTACTTTTATTTCTTGCCAAGTTGTAACCAACTGCAAACAACAAAAACAAGGCACACTGTACCTCCACTTACTCACACTCCTTCATAACCACTCTACAGTTCGTTATGGCACCAGGCTTATAGCAGTTATCCTCCAAAATGATGATCACATAACTGAAGAGCCGCCAGTGCCAAAGTATGAGACATGCCCGAACACTACTGTCCAGTGTAATGGGATAAGAGACTGCAAACTGGGCACTGATGAAACAATCTGTGGTGAGTAGGTGCATGCACACACAAACACCTCACCAGAACCAGACTGAAACAAGAACAGACAGTGAAGAAAGATGGGCGGACACTTGACAGCCACAGCCATCAAAATGAAAAGCAGGCTAGATCTTTGTGATGAGTTCTCATACATAAGTTTGGTAATGGAAATCACAGCATTTTGTGGTAGGTGCGTGTATTTAGTGTCATTACTAACAACAATTACAGAACTTAAATCTACACCAATAACCTTATCAGTAATTTTAATTTTGTAGTAAGCAAGAAGTACAACATGCATTCTAGTCAGAGCACATAATATAACTTTGTGAACAACTTGGAATGATTTAATGTGATGTGAAGAAACAAGAAATAAACTGCACATAGAGCCACATGCTTGCTTTTCTTAAGTCTAGTCAAGCTTTAATTTATTTCACACCTGATTTTTGCTTTTTCTGTGACTGACTGTAACTGGTCAAAGACTTCACAGTGTGTCAGATATGACCAACTAAAGCGATGTCAATGAAGTTGTCCTCTTTGTTGTGTCTACTTTTTTGTCTTCCCCAGTAAGGTTTGGCGAGGGCAGCAGTCTGTGGGTCAGGACATCTAAATTTGCTCGCTTCCTACCAGTGTGCTACCAGGGTTGGGACCAGAGTTATGCTGACCACACCTGTGCTCAGCTGGGTTTCAGAAAGTAAAGATTCACCACTATGTTTATAATAATTTAGTCTAACCACAGAGGTCTGAGAGTGGTAGTACTAAATGCTTAAAAGAATTCTGTACCAGCACATCAACCTCAAAATATTTATTACCATTCTCTACAGTCATTTAGCACCATCTCAGCCTTCATGAAGGCGTGATTTAGCTTGTCATTTTGTCAGACCCATTTGCAACAGCAGCTAACAAAAATCTGGGATTCTATCTGCAACCTGTAATTTACCTGCTGAGATCCATCTAATTCCTGCTCACCTGCTGCTGTGTGTTTAGGGGTGAAATTTTTCCCCACAGATCTCTCTGGCATGTCTCAGTGTGACTGAAACATTATGAGTTTCCAGACCCAATCAGGCATTGTTTCAACAATATTCTCTCTCTATCTGCAAGTTTATCTCTTCAGTTTTCTGAACTGCCTTTCTCTCTATGTCCAGGTCATTTGCCACTAAAGCCATTCAATCAAATGAGTCCATTGGTTTAACAGTGACCCAGCGACCATCTTTGCCTATCCAGGGTCTCATAAAAAACAGGTATGCAGTCTGTTTCCATGTGTCAGACACTGTTCAGATTTAATCTATGATCCTTCCATCCTCAAGGCCCAGGAGTTCAAAATTTGTAATTCATATCCAAGTGGATCAGAGTTGGCTTTTAGGTAGTTAAAAAAAAAAAACAGGATTGGGATCATTTTGACATCCGATCAGGAAATCAAATCCAATCTTTAATTGAGATCAAAACCTCAAAACAGGTAGTTCAAAACAAAACCATAAGACTGTGATCGGTTTGATCCAAACAAATTGGGATTATCTTGATCTTACTAGATGGCTGGATTCCTAGTGGATTTCCAGAACAAAATGTACTGTACAATTAATTTAAAAATAGGTTTCAGTACAAATAAAATGGTGATGTTTATAAATAATACATCATTTCTAATCTTTATATGATCTTTTATTTTGTGCTCCTGTACACTGTACTCCTCAGTGTATTCATCCAAATAATGAGTTTGTGATCATAAAACTATCTCAACAAAAATGATATCAGTCATAAATGTAATTTTGAATAAACAAAAATATCACAATGGCACAAGTCCATCATCTGTGATCAACTGTGGAAGCAGCATTACACATTGCACCACCACTCAGTCCTTCATTCAGAGGAAAATGGCTCTGCCTTGCTATGCTGTTTGTTCCTCATGGTGTTCTTCACATCCACTAGGTGGAGAGGGCAGGAGTAAAACACTGATATTCGGGATCTTTTAATTATCATAAGTCTGAATCTGGATCTGGGTGAACTTTATCCTGAATTGCTTTGAAGTACCGGGACAAAATCTGACTGAGTTGTCTGATCCTGGATCACATTCTGGATTTATAAATCTGACTGAGACTAAAGGTCTTGAACTCCTGGACCTTGGTTATAATAATATTCTATCTCATCATGTGAAATCTAGCACTATTTGTACCAGCAGTTTAAAAACCCTCACATTTGAATCCCTCACATATTCACTCATATTTTGCCTTTTATTTTTTAGAAACAGTGGTTTATTGTATTTACCTGCATTAGCTAACATCTCTTTTTTGATCTTGGCATTAAGCAGTTCTTCCTGCCCAGGCCAGGAGATTGTTTCCCTGCAGTGTGTGGGTAAGGTGCCATCTGTTCCCTCAGTTATCGCTCCCTCCTTTGTCTCCATCTCACACACACAGTCCCTACCACTGTGCATCCAGCCATTTGGTACCACAGCAAAACAAATATTTGATCAGTATCACTTACCCTTATAGTGGTACGTTTGTGGCCATTCTAAAATTTCCTAAAATCAGTCAAATTAAAAGAGCCGTCCCTCAGGGCATAGGCTGTTATACAGTATGAATGTTGGGGCAATATGGTTACATTTAAACAAGGATAAAGACAACAGTGAGAAAGTGTATATCACAATATGGTAAATCTGAAGGGCACCATGCAAGTGATTCATTTTGATAGTTAAAAATTCAAATTTGATTACAATAACTGATTTGGCTAGGTGAATTTTTTAAAGCTTTAAGACAATGTGAGTATATTATCACTACCAATTCACTGAAACCGACTGAACTGATAATACTGAATTATTATTCAGTTTTATACCTAAAATGTTTCTGAACCAGTGTCTTACACTGTCTCTCATTCCCAGACTGTGGTCAGCAAAAGTCCTCATCCCGGATCATTGGGGGCACTGTAGCCAAGATAGGTCGGTGGCCTTGGCAGGTGTCGCTCCATTTCAGAAGCACCCACGTCTGTGGAGGAGTGTTGATCGCTCCTGACTTTGTGGTGACCGCTGCTCACTGCTTCCCGAGGTGACTTAGACAGAAAATGTGTCTTTTTCTACACTGCAACAATCTTGTTTATTCTGAGAACAGAATTCAAACACTTTAATTCTAAACACAATCTAAATACCAGTGTTGTATCAGCATGATTCCTTTGCTTTCCATTGAGCAGCCTCTTCCTGTGTTTCATTAACAGCCTCCTAGATCTAGTCGTGTCCCAGTGGAAAGTATATGCCGGAGTGGTGTCTCAGGTGAAATTACCTCAGCCTTACCTAGTTAAGAAGATCCTACTAAACACAAACTTCAACAACAATACTAAAGACGCGGACATTGCTCTGCTCAAACTTTCATCTCCAGTTGTTTTCGATGGTCAGTTACATTTTCACTTAATTAAAATAATGTTTATCTGATTTTCTTACCAGAGGCTGTGAACAGAATTTAGTCTTCATATAAGTATATAGGTAACTGTCAAGGTGAAAATGTGACCTTCTTGCAGTGAGTGAAGAAAGGATTCCAGTATGATTACTTCCTCCTTGAGAATCTACGAGGCACAGAGCCTGTATGATTGAGCAAAAGCTGTTCATGTTAGGATGGAGTATGTGTACAGTAGTATGACCAGGTCGGTCACTGAACGGCTTGAAAGACAATCCTCCTGCTCTAGAGCCTTTGTCAATAAACACTCACGCTGTAACTGGAAAGCCGATCTCCTCTTCCTCCAGAACTGTCTTTGCTCTGTGGTTGCAGAAAAAGAACAGGCCCGAGGCGATCAATAGTCTTTCACGCTACTATTAAAAGCCACTCATTGATTTCAGTGTTGTGACAGTGATCTACTATTCACACTGGTTGCTTTCTACATGAACAGTAATACAAAATCTGAGAATTAAAATAGAATTTGATCATCATGTAATGAATGTCTATACAAACTATATATACTATACTGTACTAGTATACTAGAACAGTATAGTATATATAGTTAGTTTTATTTTAATTCTGTCATGCTATCTCTCTCTCTCCCTCTATGTGTGTGTATACATGCATACACACAAACAGAAGAAACCAAGCTACAACTTTGAATTGTGAAATATGGTAAAATAAATAGTGTCCACCATGGACATGCCTTTCTCTTGCTGCTCAGTCTGAGCTTTTAAAGTCTGTGCTGAAACCATACTGGTACTATAATTTGTTTTGCACAGTCCAGTGGGTTTTTGTGTGTGCATCTATGCTTCTGAGTGCACAAGTTTGCCATTGTGTTTGCAAAAGTAAAATACTTTTTTGTGTTATACAGATAAGGCCCAGCCAGCTTGTCTGCCAATTTTCAACCAGCAGTTTAACGAAGGAACCACATGCTGGACTACGGGCTTTGGCACCACTGTGGCAGGAACATGTAAGATGGAACATGCTTTCATTTAGGATACTGGACTGTAACAAATCCCCATTAGCTTCCACTAAAGTAGAAAGACTGTCAGACATAATGAGGTGCATGCACACAGATTGAGGGCATGTAAAATGAGTCCAGAATAAAGCACACATGCATATTTGGGTCTATGCCAAAAGACATGTTCATATTCAGCAACATTAATGTAGTCAGAACAGACTAGACCTGTCTAGTCTAGTCAGACATCAGGTGAAGTACAGACAAGTAGAGCACAACAAAATAGAAAGTCAGGACCACCTAAGGGAACATGGATGATCTAAAATAGAGTGACAGATGTCTGTCCTTACTGCATCGAAGCTGGTGGCAGCTGACAAAGGTGGACATACTCTTAAACTCAGTATTAATGGACATGTGCAGAGGGACAGCTTTCACCTGACAGGGAAAGTAAGAATGCACAGTACCATGATTAATCATGTCAACTGGACACAAAAGTTAGAAGAAATGACAGGGAATTAGCCATTACCAATACAGTCAGTATATTTATCAGCTCAAGTTGCACATACAGCAGACAGAGCCACTACTGTGACACATTTTATTTAAACCTTGATAGAAAATGAACGAGCATATTGTTTTCTCCAATACAGACACTGCGTCCAACGATCTGATGGAAGTGAATGTGAACATCATAGATACACAAGAGTGTAACAAGCCCCATATTTATGGAGGTGCTGTGACCAAGAGCATGCTCTGTGCTGGTGACCTGAAGGGAGGTAAAGACTCCTGTCAGGTGAGCCGTCAGTATCAAGGGCTAGGATTACAACAACCAGCACACTTCAGAATAAAATTTATATTCACAACACATGAACTATGGTTTTCAGGGTGACAGCGGCGGACCTCTGGTGTGTATGCAAGACAACCGTTGGTATCTGGTGGGCATCACCAGCTGGGGAGATGGCTGCGGTGAAAAAAACAAACCTGGCGTTTACACCAAAATCACTAGTGTTCTCCCCTGGATTGCTAGTAGCATGCAGGTAGGAGTGGATGAAGCAAAAAAATAAATAAATAAAAAAATAAATAGCGTTTAACATCCAAACAGTTATAATTCGTTTAGACTTGCTGCGCCACAGGTTTTCACCATCTCAACTCTGCCTGTTTCTCCTATAGCAAGAGAGGCCGTGATGCCCCTTTGTCTCCTGCGGCTGGTCTGCTTCTCCGTTCCCCGGTGAAGCTGCATTATATGAACCTGTCTCATACATAGAGTAGAAGACTGAACTGATGAGGAGATAGAAAGACAAATGGACAAAAAGTTGCATGCTGGCTTGTAACAGTACAATAAATTGCACAAGCAGGACTTCTCACGACACAACTCGTGTGATTTAATGTCTACTATTTGTTACCATTTAAATTAAAAAACACACTTTGTGAATACAAGAAAGTACAGCCCTGACACCTCAACACCTAAACCTCCCCTTATACTCACGCTGATTTATTTTCAGACATTGTTCTTCTTGCTGTACGTTATATGTCATTGTGTGTGTGTGTGTGTGTGTTCTGTGTGTTTCATATTGATGTCATTATGGTCATGCTGTCTGGCAGAATTTAATATTTGTCCTCTGTGTGGGATGACTTATATTCTGAGCATATCTACATAAAATACTGTAAATATAAAAGAAAGCCTTTACTGTGTGTGTGTGTGTGTGTGAGAGAGAGAGATAGAGAGAGAGAAAGAGAGAGAGAGCAATAAAGAGGGCTCAAGCCACTGAATAAACAGTCGCTCCTGGAGTCACATTGTTATCCATCCCATCTATTTTTCCAGGACAAGTAGATGTGAGCAGTGTGCACATATTGACAGATGACAATATTTGGAACAGAAACCTTGTGAGACAAGCGGATTGGTTCTTGTGGGTGGATATCAGTTTGTTGGCTGGAGAAACAAGAGGTAAGTTGATAAGCGCCTGTGTTCGTCTCTTAGATGGCGTTAAGTCAGAAGGGGATCATAATAGTCGCGAAGCATGCAGTGGAAGAGAACACAGTTTTTTTATCAAAATGCATTTCTTGTTAGGTTTTTTGAGCGCACTGTCCAATGTAAACAAATCGTGTAATTAGGTTGTAGGATTTCTAGTCACTCGGACACATTTAGTGGAATCATTTTTGCCCCAATGTGTGGTGTGTTCAGTTTCCACGCTACTGGAAATTGTTTCATTAACTTGCAGGGATGCATGCCATCTACGCTATTCGTTATTTATCATTGCTCCAATGCTGTAGACCATGAGGGTGTGTCTACAGGCACTGGTCACTATAACCTTCACAGGCTGCGCTGCTAAAAATATTTGCATGGAGCCAACGGACCAGCGTAACCAAATCACCGTCTTTGACGCGATTGTTATCTTGTGCCTTGTAAGAGGAAGTTAAAAACCAAATATCACTTGTCGTGTGTGTCACTGCTGTTACTATAGAAAGGTTAGTTGCTGTCAGGTCGCCTCTCTGCTTAATCAGATGTTCCACAGGTTGAAGGACGCAAACGTGGACACGCAGACGTCACACAAAAGGATGTGGAAATGTGTCGTGCCAGTTTTTATTTATTATAAGTCAGTGAAGCCTGGCAGCGCGTGATACGTGGCAGCGCCATGTAGGCTGTGCGTTGACATCATAATAGAAAGGTTACAATGCGTTAGTGAGGTCGTTCTTTGTTGTGGGCGCGCAACTTACAACAAACGCCACAGAATTTACATTCAGTGTACCTTATTGCTTACGAGTTTCTTTTTACAATGGATCTGTGGCAATGTATCTTAGAAACAGTCTGAATTCCAGCCAACTGAGTCCGATTTTAAAGCTGCGTGCCACACCCCTTTCTTCTGCTGCATGTGTCTGGTTGTCTTTATGTTTCCATACAAGCCCCACATCTTAACCCATTTATCCTTCGGCGCCAGATTTTTTTGGGGCGAGACAGTTACTATGGAGATAACTAGACGACGCACATTGTTGTCATGGTGATGTAATAACATTATGATGCCAGAGAGCCTATATTGGACCAAGTTGTTGCTTTTCAGAAAGGTTAAGGAGACCTGTGGTGTGACCCGTTTAGCTGCCCTGTATTTCATTGATGCTGATGAATAGGAAGTACTTTTTAAAGTGACCCTGGGACTTTAATTTGCTTATATATAGAAGCCTCAGGGCCACTGGTCACCAACTGATGTTCCTTCAGAAAACTACACACCTACAATACAGAGCATAGCGAAATAGGGAGATCTGGCACAATGATGCCGATCAATGCTAACATTTAAACGCTTGCATTAAAGAAGCACAGACACCTACAGTAACTAAACACAAATATTCAATCAAACAATCATGCATTCTGTCAAAGACACAGCCCACGTGAAAGTGCACCTCCCAGAGTTACAGTGGCCAGACAATGAAACACGCAGGACGACCTCTATCGTACAATATCATTTCAAAAACCCAATAATCTGTAGGTCACTGAGCACATATAGGATCCTGAACACGCTAATGACACAATAAGAGACATTTTGGGCTGTGGTCTCATGTAAAAGCACACACACAGTGGGCAGTTATATACTCACACAGTTGATTTTTTTTTTTTAAATGACAATGTCAGACGATTTCATTGATGCTCTACCCTAATTCATCTGTTAAACTGTGGGTGACTTTTAGTAGTTTGTGTTACATTGATCTTAAGCATGTTTAAGAACCACACATTTGTCATATAGAATAATGTCAGAGGTTATGTCTCACTGACTGTTGATCCTCTGCCACCATTGTCTAATTTATCATCTCCCCGTCCCCATTGCTTTGACTCACTGATGTTTCTCTGACAGCCTACCTGCTTCTTCGTCTCCCTCATCACCTTTGTCTCATCATATTGTCTAATACTCTGTGTTTTTGCTGGAAATGTCACTATCTCTTCAGGCAGTGTCTCCTCTGCATGCCCTTCACCTGTACTCTCCTGCCAGACCACGTCTGACCCTGTCTGCTCCTCTCCCATTCTCACTGTCTTCATGCCTTGTCCTTTTCTACTCCTCTCCTCTCAGATCAAGGAGTAGCCCGGCTGTGTAACTTGATAATGCTAAACAATAATGCAGATGAGGTAGAAAAAACATGTGACACATACCCACTGATGGTTAAAAGTAGCTCCCCATCAAAAGAGCTTATAATATTGCGCCCCATGTGAGTTCATAATTTCCTCTATTTTTGTGAGGGAGGGTTGAAAATATTGGTCAGAATAGTTTGTTTTATCAATTACAAAGAAAAGTTGAGCTGGACCCATATGAAGAACTATAATGACTATATATTCAGTAAGGATGAGATTGTTTTCAATATTACATTTAGGAAAACTGCCAGTACTGTGATGTTGATGTCCATACAGTGATGTCATAGTCAAGTCAGTCGTCTCCTGATCTTCATCTCGCCTTTGGATCACTAACTGTGACCATGGGAACACAGTTCTCATTACTTCTAAAATGAAAGCTGCAGTAATTATTGTCAGTAATCAGTGCAGAACATGTTTTAAATTGGGTTTTCTATTGTATAAATGTCTGCTCCTTTTGTCTATAAAAGACTGCCATAAGTTTGTGGTTTGTACTGACACCCATTATTTTGAGTCTGAGGCGCTGCTTGGCATTTAACCCCAGACTGTCTTTGGTTCCTTCAGAATCACTGGAGGCTGTCCAACTGGCCACTTAACCTGGAACACTTACCGTCATATCTAGGCCATTAGCATGTGTCTTTGTGAGCGGGGACACAAAAGGGCATCAGATTTCTCACTTTCCACCAGCGAGGGCTTTATCTTCCCATTCTTTAGTCTTGCACTCACTGAACCAGCTTTACTCTGTCGGTGCAGAAGAGGGTCCACCTGAATACACATTTTTCCAAATTGCACTTGCTAAATACTAAATATAATGCCAGAAAGTCATAGGACATTATTTAGGAATATTCTGCAAATAGCTAAATGTCTGCTTGCTGCAGAATTCTCTCTCTCTCATCATATACAGTATATGCACACACACACACACACACACATAAAACTTCTTGAACATATTTATATTTAAATTTTATCATCAATTTTGCCTTTGGTTTGAATACTCATTGAAAACTGTAATAGAAGGTGGAGATTGTGATAGCCAGTAACTTTTCTCTATTTATCTTACATCAGTTCAGATATATACGTAGATGTTTTCACAGCAGTTGGGCAGCATACGATTATTGAAAAATAAGGTCATACGTTAAGAGGAGCAAGAAAAGGGCTCAAGGAGACCCCTGTTGCTACTGGAGAGGGAGAACAAGGTGGCACGTGTTCTAACAACATCTCATGTGGATGCAAATCACTGATATACAAAGCTGAGAGTCTAATTCTGTAAAATGTCATACTGTATCTGTGTTTCAGGGTCTTAGGGCTTTAATCCTGTAGAAACTATCAGAGATAATTGTAAACAAATGTACCCAGACGTTAGTGTCAATCCTGAACTGGTACTGAGTTCATCTGTTGCTGAAGATTTGGCTTGCAGCACTTTTGAGCAGTAGCCTATAGTGTTGGTTTTGAGCAAAAAAAGGTTAACAGAGTAGGTGACCTGGTTACTGACTGTTTGCTCTAACTCTGCTAAAAGCTCAGTCAAACATAGTGTTTTGGATGTTTTACACTCCAACACAGTTAATAGCAGGTGGTATCAGGTGGTGAAGAGAATAAAGATAGTACTGTGGATTTAGATTTTAAAGGGCACACCTGCCTCAGCATGAGAAAGTTCCCCTCCTCTTGTGCTTGAGCGGGATCTGTCTTTATTAATATGTCTAACCTGACTGTAAGTGGTGTGCAGCTTTGGGGACAGCCATCATATCTAATGTGAAAAAAGATGTTGCTTTCATTATGTGCAAATGTGGCAAACATGGCTTCATGTCATACGTCATCATTCAAGTCTAGATTTGGTTTTAACAAGACTGCAAAAGTGCCACTCTGAATAACAAGTACACCATGACAGTTAAAAAAAAACTTGAAAAAGACTTTAGAGGCTTCTGCCTCGGCTGTGTAGTCACATCTGAAATGAAAATCCTCACTAGAAGAAATTCTCTGTGCTAAGTGACTTCAATATTTTTTTGTACATTTATAGCGAAGGCTCCTGCAACAATAGGAGCAAGCGAGCTTCTTAAAAATAACTTATTAACAGTACAAACTCTACATCCTCAATGATTATGCTGCGTCTTGAAATAGAAAATATGCATCATAACAAATGCCACCGTAAAGCTTAAAAATGCTTTACAATGACATGCAAGAATAGCTAACTATTCTTTCATGGAACATCCCATTAAACAAGCAATTTTTTCTGTCCAAGGTCTTCATTTTTAGGGTGGGTGCCAGCAGTCTAATGGAGGCCACGGGCCTTCTGTTCCTCAGTTGTCATCTTGTGGTACATTATTTCAAAAATGTCCAAATTACCATGTGCTCTGTTCTGTATAAGGGCTCACAAATCAAATATGCAGACACACAAATAGCAGCTGGGCAGGAGTGCTATACAGTCGGTGCATCTGTTAATCACCATAATTTCATTTAAGGAGCACTATGCCCTGTACCACTGATGCTGTGAGGACAGATAAACAGCCAAATGGATATAAATGGACCTGGAGTGAATTAAAGAGCCGCTCAGTCAAATGGACGGACATTTACAGTTTGTATGACGGGGAGACAGCGGTGAACACTGAGTTATAGAAAACCCCTGGTCTCTTGACACAGATGCTTCTCTGCTTTGTCTATAAAGCATGGATGCTGTACTGCAGACATAACTTTCTGTTATTTTCCCTGTGGAATTTTTTGGGGGCTTCACCAAATGAACTGCTGTTAAATCCTGTTGCCCAGTTCCATTTATTATTATTTACTAAGCTATTACTTTGTTTAATAGTTCCTGATGACTGACATATAATACATTTCCAGACACTTTGGAGAATTCGATGGGGAACTAGACCACTCATAAATATTGATTTGTTACATGCTGTTTGCATTTGTCAGTTTGTCCTCTGGTCACTGTTTTACTGAAATGTCACAAAGACAAAGCTTACTTGACCTTTTGAAGCTGACTTTATGAAAGTTTTATAAATGTGAGAAACTGAACACTTGCATGTTGTCACTGAATAAAAGTTTGAGAAGTTCAGTTATAAAGTGTGTCTTAAAATACACGTTTGGACAAAGTGTAAGCAGCAGAAACTGCATGTCATTAGTCAAATGCTTTGATGTGCCAAAACATGCAGTAACTCTGAAACTTTAACTGCACTGGTTCCCAGGAGCAGATGTAACTGCAACACCAAATACATTTTGTAGAAAACATAAGTGAGACTTTTTTTTAAAGCATTTATTAATGGTAGTGAATTTCCACAGTGGTGGCAGATGTCCAAACAGAGCAAATGTCACACCAGAGACTGGGATTTGCATCCACAGTTTGGTTTCTATTTCAGATGACAAACTATTTTTTACATGATGATGTTTAGTTGTCATAATGTTTGACATTTTTACCATCTTACTTTACTGTGTAACTTGCCAGCATTTCTTAATTAGGATTAGTTGCAAAGTGCAGCTGTGGCTGATGGGAGGTATACAAGTATTAGATAAATTAAAAAATTTGACCTAATGATGACGTTAGAAATAAGTGAAGGGATCACCAAAGTTATTTGAGGGCGACATGAATGTGTGTACCAGATTTCATGACAATTCAATGTGCATGTGTGTACAATGTATTGTGTGTATTATATACTGTATGTGCATGATAAACAAATGTCAGCTTCATGGTGGGGAGGACAAATCAGGAGATCACCAAAGTCATTGGATTGCATAATACTGTTTTATGGCAACCCATCCAGTACAGGTCAAGACACCTCACTAAAACAAAAACAAAAACCACAAATGTCCTTAAATCACGAAAGTCAAGGAAAGGATTCGTTTTCTGGGGACCATCATGAGTGTCTGTATAAAATCCATGCACAAGTCATAGATGTATTTCCATCTGGAGCAACGTGGGGGACCCATCCGTTGACTGACAGACTGACATTGTCATCCCAGGAGCCATGGAGTTAGTATGACTGAAAACATATCTGGGTTGACTACAGCTGAATATAGAAAGATGGTGGAATATGAGTACATGTTGTGGGAGACACAGTTTGCACATTTTTACTGAACTGCCTAGATGAAAATAGGTCAAGGTTGTGTGAAGTCCACAGGGAGGAAGGAGGAATCCATGTCAGGAAAAGAGAGCATGTGCAGCAAGCAGGCTCTGAACATGGGTTGTCATACAAGATCACAACTATATCCAAAGGCCTTTCACATCAGTTACACTCCAGGAGTCTGGATGTTCTGCTGTGTGATGATGTGTGCTTGTGTTGTCATAGTTTGTGGGGTGTCTATCAACTGTGTGTGTGTTCTAAATTGTAGGGGTGTGTTGTATAGGTGCTGGAGTAGTGTAGCTTACTAAAATAAACCTCTCTCAATGTATCTTTTTTCATTCTCTCTCACCCTCCCTCTTTATTACCCTATGTCAACAGTTGTCATGGAAACTATTTTGCTCTTCCTCTCTTCACTCCTGGTGTGTGTTGCTGGTAGGTACCCCCCTACTCATGGAACACGCACACAAATCTATGCATGCAACACTTATGCATGCACATATTTCAGTTGTCCATAGGGGGGCAGTGTAGGGGCAGATGGTGAAGTATAAATGAAAAGGCATCCACTAGACCTGGGCTCTTAATTTAACAACACTTACTACTCTAGGGATTTATGTGTAGGCTTCACAGACTGGCTTTATGTCACTGACTGTGTGTGTGAAGTGTGTTTATAGTGTATAATTAAATATAAGACACCTAAACACATGCTCACACAGTCACACACTACAAATAGATGATGTTGTGCTGTGCTGCCAAACGCTTCCAATGACACTACAAGGTTGTGTCAGGTAAATCATAGATAATCAGGCAGGTTGGTTATTATATACAGTGGAGAGATACTGTAGGTAGGTTTTTAAGTGGTTTACCTCATGGTTTCTCACCTAATGCTTTGTGTTTCTCTCTATTTCACTCGCCCAATGAGTCAAACCACCCTCTTTGTACTTCCCAGCTGTAGCAGACCCCAGTGCACAAGGTGAGTCTAATGGATCACACCTCAGTCCTAACAGCCATGCAGTTGGTTTCCAGAGCAGGGCGGCAAGGTGGTAAGATGGTTAGCACAGTTGCCTCGGGAAGAAGGATCTGAGTTTTGAGTTTGCATGTCCTCTCTGTGCCTGAATGGGTTTTCTTTGCATACTTTGGCTCCAGAGACCTGCAGGTTAGGTTAACTGGCAACTCTAAATTCCCCATAGGTGCGAATGGGTGTCTGTCTATATGTGTCAGACCTATGACAGACTGACGACCTGTCTGTGGTGTACCCCCACCTCTCACCCAATGCCAGCTGGAATTGGTCCAGCTCCTTCATGACCCTCTATAATATAAATGGTATAGAGAATGGATGGTGGGTTCCAGATCAGACCCTTGTGGACTGCACCACCACAATGAAGAGTGGCAGATGAAGATTTACCAGACCCAACTGCTTGTTGGTTAGAATGAAACTTTTATAAGAAATGTGAAATCAGTGCTAAAGAGTGTGGCTGTTTGGTTAAAACAAACTAGGATAATATATTTGTATAGTACATAAAATATATGAAATTCCAATACATATACTGTAAACAGCTTTTTCAGTGCCTATTGCCAGCTAAGAACATTAGCACTGTGAGATTCTGCAAAACCCCTGACTAAGCCCAGCGCCACTGTTCATAACGTTGTTGACTTCTATAATATTTGCTCTTTTGAAAGTTAGGGGAATATGGCAAATAAACTATGGGTAAGGTATGGTGAGGATTAGGGAACAAGTTGGTTAAGGAAAATGTTGTTGTTCCAGTTAATGAAAACTACACAGAACAATTACTAGTCAGTGACAGATGGTGGTAAAACTGTGATGTGCAGATTTGTCCAAAATGGACTTAGAGATACCTCCTGAATTGTTTTTCTTGGGTTTCTTGGGCATCTTTAAAACAGTTTTTGAAAATTGCAGTACTATTTGGCATTCGAGTGATGGCACTGAACAACTTGGTTCTGAATATTTGGTTTCTATAATATTTTACAGATGGCGAGAAGAAAGTTGAAAACCCGTTTGTTTATGGTAAGTTTAGAACAATCAGTGTGTTTTTGTAAAACACCGGCCTCGGTCACCTCTGTTGAATTCTGCCATGAACCTCTTCGTAGACTATGAGAGCCTGAGAATTGGGGGACTGGCATTTGCTGTGGTGCTGTTCATACTGGGCATTCTTCTCATCCTCAGTAAGTTAACCTCTGCACATGTGTGCCTGTCTTTCTCTACGCTAAATGTATATGCATCTAATGTAGACCAATGTTACAATCAACTTAAAATAATTCACAAGAAATGACTGAATCATTATTGCACTTCTGCGTTGTGTTACTATACCATGTTGTCTTGACAGAGTTTATTTTCATTCTTTTCATTATGTCATAAAGTACCAGTGAAACACTTTTAACAGGGATGACACAGACAATATCTCTAAAGAATTAGAGCTCTACTCAGGACAGTTAGTCACTCCTTATGTTTCTAGGTCGGCGATGCCACTGCAGAATCAAGCAGAAGCCCAGGTATGCCAGTGTTCCTCTTGGGACTTGATTACATAAGAGCTTCTTTTTTGTCATGTTACATCATTTGGTTACTATGACAACTTGTGGATCTTCTCCTCAGAGCCCCTGGAGATGAGGAGGCACAGGAGGAGAACCTGATTGTCTCCAGAGGTAAGATGCAAATGTTAACTCTCTGTCAGATCGTCTCACCTCTGCCTGAGCCCCGACATTCATAAATAACAGAGTTTCCTTTTGCCCAAGGCACAAGGGGCAAATCTTTATGTGTACATGTGTTGAACTCTGTGTGAGCCAGAGCAAACAAGCTATAAAGACTATATAGTTTAAATCTCTGCTGACATTTTTTTAAAGCACATGCTTTATTATAAACCTTCCAAGCTGTTTTAGAGTTTAGTTAACTTTAATACTACATAAAAAATACATTTGCAAAAACTTGTTGGGTCTGAAACTGTTATTTATCACAAAAAGCATTCTGTCACCTTTATGTTTTTATTAAAATTAGGTAATCATTATGTCATCTGTTACTTCAAGCAAGGACTGTTTTATAATTTCTCCCTGTAATTGCACTGCACGATGCTCCAATACAGTTAATATCCCTTTAAATGACAGAAACAACTAAATACATGAGAATTTTCATAACAAATATTTTCCTGTGTGATTCCTGGGTTTTATATGTTGACAGTGAAACCCACACCAATCTTTATTTGAATGTATCTAAATATATATTTTAGTCTAAAGAAGGTCATTTTTACATATTCTCTGGCATCTGAGCTACTGTCAGTATAACAAGTGTTACATTAAGGAAAGTAATGTAACTTGTTGCAGTAGAATAGAGCCTTAATTAAGCCTTAAGAGGAATGAATGCCTATAATTAAAGATACGTTAAGTGTTCAACTCTTACAGTATTTCAAAACTGAAACTTTAAAGAATGAAGAAAGAAAGCCAGACAAACTTTTAGTTCAGCTTATCACACGGGTGTATATCAGTAAACAGCAGTATGATGTCTTCTGGTTGCACCTAGTGTTCATCGACTCTTCACAGAGTATATTCACACAGCATATTGTTAATTGTTCTGTGGAAGCGAATAAGAGCTCTCATAGAATACTCACTGTCCTCTTCAGCACACTGCAAACACTTCTCTCTGGTGACTCCCACATACACGTCGCATTCATTCTGGTCATTTGCCCAGACCAAATGAAGAGCTGATGTATAATCAAAATGCCATTGTCTTGCTCCAAATCCTGAGGCCAGTGAGGGTTGATCAGGTATAGAGAGCCAGAAGGCAGTGAGGATGAGCTAGAGTAAGAGTGGCAGAGGCAGTAAACAGACATGGCTGTCTGCTCTTGCAGTGTGACTGACAGCAGTTAACATCAGCATGTGTAAGCAAAATGGCATTAGCCAGCACTTTAAAGTAGGGATCACTTCACTGGCTCTGCCTCTCAGATGCTCGTTGCTTTGATATCCTCGCTGCACATGACCACAGAGTATGGATGTGAGTTCTCACATGTTAAAATGATTTAGTAAAATGTCTATTCCTACCAGAAGCCATGTTAAATTAGCTAGCTAAACATAGTTGAAGCTCAGTGTTTATGTGTGTAGGAAAAAATAGTCATCTCATCCATCTTAAAGTCCTGGTCTCTGAGCTGTCTCCATCTTTCAAAGGCATCTTGCATATTACCAGTGTTTTATGGTCATGAAGGTTTTAGAAGGAAGGCGAGGCTTTTTAGGTCAGGTAGTCTTTTTTTGCTGCAGAATATCATGTTCCACTCCGGAAAGAAAGGAGAACATACTGGCTGTAGCATCGTTGTCACAGAAGCCAGTATTTCAATGTAGCATGTTTCTTTAGTCCCCGAGGACATGTCTTGGTCATTTTATGATTTAATACAGTAAATATCATACATTTTGTTCCTTTATGTTTCATCACAAGCTGATTTTTATAATTCAGTCTGGAAGGTGATGATGTCAGAAGTATTTATGTAAAAGTAGCAATTCCACACTTAACAACAGAGTTAAAGTTTTGTTTAAAAAATACCAAAGTAAAAGCAAAAAAAAAAAAAAAAAATTAGGATCAGTAAATATACTATAGAATCAAAAAGACATTTACAAATACATTTTTTATTTTTATTTTTACATTTTTAAGAAGTTTTGTTGTTGTAGCATTGTTTCATAATTTATGTTCACGTATACTCACACGTTTGCTTGTGGAATCTCCAAAGTGGTAATGCTGAGTCCAGCTTTAAAACTGTACAACAACACATTCCTTAGGAGGTAGAAAACAAAGTGTGTGGTGTCAGATATATGTGATTTTAAGGAGTTAATGAGTTGGTGAAACTATGCACCTGGGCCTTTAAGTGATTATCCACAAATGAATGAATGAGTAAAGGGCAGAGAAAAGGACTATTTAGGGATAAATGACTGTGGGCAAGTTTAACGTGTCCTGCATGTCCTTGACTTCCTTCAGCTGCAGCAGCTGCCAAAGAGGCTCCAGCAGAGAACTGAGGCACTTCCTCCGGCCCGCACTGCCTTCTGATGATCACTTTTATTTGATATTAAGCCACTCTCATAGTGAAGAAATCGACGGTTATTACAACTGGTTATATGATGGGGTAAGAGGGGAGGTGTACATTTAGAGGTGTAATATGTACATACAGTAAATCTTGTTCCCTAAAGACAAACCTTTAGCCTGTTGTGCTCCATTGTGACTGTGCCAGTCCCTCAGTGCTCTTGTCTGTTCCTGTGGCTTTCTGTGACAGCCTCTCACTCCAGTTCTTTGTCTTAGTCAGTGGCTCCTTCAACACAACATTGTCTTCAAAGCCCTAGAAGAAGTTTTGATGTTGTGTGGTCTGCTGTTCTTCATTTTCTGTCAATTGCCCTAAGGTTTAAGGATTGTCAGTTGTCACATTTGTATTATAACATGTATTCTAATATACAATGCACTATACATGTATAATTATATATACAGTATACTAGTACAGATAGTTTACAGATAAGATATACAGTTAAATATTCTTCATTTAGGTCTATGCTTGAAAGGTTGGGTGTGTTTGTGTACACATAGACATATGCATGCACATCCTGTTTATGTATGACTATGTATAACATGAGTACATGTGTATCTCCACATGATGAGCCTTATATAAGACAATCTAGCTACAGCTCTCTGAGCACAGGAATAGTTTGCAGGTATTTACTTGAGCTCCTCCACTGCCGTGTTATACCAACTTTGGTGGAGGGAGCTCCTGGATCAGCTGTCTCACTGCCTTCTTCTCCACACATCCGCTCCAGGGCCCCGTCACTGGCTGCGCCAGGATGAACTAGTCTTCAGCAAACTATGATTAGTTTTCCCGTACTATTTCAACAAACCTGTGAAGACTTGGTCTCTTTTTTCTTTTTCTTGCTTGTTTATTTAATGTCTTAGTTTATCTCAAATTTCTGAAAAAAAGAGGCAACGTTTCGATACTGAGTTTGAGAGAAGTGAGACTTCATATTATTTATGTACCAGAATATATTAATAGTAGCCTATGTAAGCAAAATCATAGTGAAAGAACAAATGAACAGTCCTTGTGAATCACCTTTCAGGTTAGGCTTTCACTGGTATTAAGTCTGAGTATACCTATGTTCATTTGATGCATAGAGTGTTTTGTGTAGCCATCTGTTGTGCCACTGGCATAAATAAAGTATGTCTGAACACAAATAATACGGACTATTGTGCTCGCTTAACTAAAGGTCACATTTTAAGCATAAGAATTTCTCTCCAGACTTTTTTTCAGGGTCTTTATGTTTGAACATTTGAGCCTAGAAAATCTGATTTCACAAGTAACCCTACAACAGCACTTATAATCACTCTCGTACTTTCATAGCAGTATCAGTCGAGGTTATAAGCTGTTACTTGGGGCTATGAAACTGCATCAGAAATGGGTTCCTCACCAGCAGAGCCAGTAATAAACTGCTCTTTCTGCTATGATTCCAAAGGTTGGTAGATCTGCTCCTTATTGGCACCAGACTTTATGAGACTATAAATATGTAACTCAGTAAATGCGCTAAAATGTGGCTATGGGTGTGGTTTGTGTGTCTGTGTTAGAAGGTGGCCCTAAGGGGGTTGGGGGAATCTGGTCTGTATCTGCCCCTGATGCAGACAGAACCACACACACAAACACCTGGACAGAGGTAATACAGAGCCTTCAGTTCTTCAGGTGAGTAAGAACTTGCTTTGATTCACCTGGGTTTACAGAGATTGTGTGGGTCATAAAAGCATGCCGTATGCACTCCAGCTGCTTAAAAACTGTTACAATGGGATCATAGGACAGAGTTTCACACAAATTCAGTGCTAATTTATGGTTTGGATGGGTTGCTTGTTATGAACAGATGCTTTAAATTGATGTGTAGAATGTGTATTCCTGTGTAAAACAAATTATTGGCATACTTTAATTTGAAAAGTTAAACATTTCCTGAACAAGCTGCTCCACTAGTTAATGAGATAAACTATAAAAGCACACATAGTATAATTAATTGACATTGGAAAAGTGGGTTTAGAGGACAGACAGCACTCTGTGTTCTTGTTAATGCCCCCTCACACTGATAAAAGCTAATAGCAGTGATGCAAGGCTGCACTTCAAGGGTGATTATTTGCCAAAATCACTGGGTGTCAATTCTGGCTTATTATGCAGGTGTCACCACAGCTACTCTGTCTTGCTCCATCTGTAACCTCTATCGGACTGTGCAAGGTTCAAGGTTAATGAATATTGGAGTGGTAATGAGTAACTACCCTTATGTTCAGTGGTGCATTGAGCAGGTCCAGACAAATAATAAATGAAAGTACTGAAGTGCACAATTCATAGAGGCATGCCTGCACAACATAGAGACAGCAAGGGACATTTTCAGTCTGTTAATCTGTGTAAGTTAATTATTTTAAGTCATGAGATGTATGGTAGATCAAATGACAAGCTTGTGTGTGTATATGTGTGTGCGTGTGCGTGTGTGTGTGTGTGTGTGTGTGTGTGTGAGAGAGAGAGAGAGAAATGTTGACAGAAGGGATGGGGGCAAGGATCAATATCACCATTAGCCTCTTAAAGTTCTCAGTGAAGAACAAGACAATCACTTTGCTATTAAGACTGTGGTAGGCAACCGTGAGGCAATTTGTCAGGACATATAGAGTTTCTGAGCCTTTCAGCTACTTCCACTCTGAACAACTAAGCCAGTTCAAAGAACTCCCTAACTTTCCTAAAATGCAGAAAGTACTGAAACCAAATCCATGTAAATTTTTTCCACTGCCAGCACATTTTTTTGATACAGACCAACTGTAATGATAAATACTTTTATTGTCATGATATAAGGACCTTTCTGTTAAACGAATGTTAGAAATGGATTACCAGCTGGCGGCTGCTGTTATCACGGACCTTTTTTTTTTTAACTGTTTGTGTTATGTCTCTCTAGTTTTGTCAGCTGAGCACACACACACACAGACAGAAAAAGCAAGATGTGTTCTTTCAAAGGTAAGTTACACAGAAGGTGAACTGCCAATTAGCCACAAACAAGTCACAGCCAGTCTTTTTTTACTGATTCCGAGTCAAAAACACTAACAGCAACATTCAATCATGCAACTTACTTATTAACTGCTTATTCAGAGTAACATAAATATTCTGGGTAATTCTGAAAAACAGTATGAATCTTTATATGCTGTAGGTTATACAGAGTGTTCCTTGATAGCTTTAAAGAACAAAACCAAGAGGAGTTGATTCCCCCTCTCACACTTTAGTATTCCTACCACAGCTAATCATATTCATAAAATAGGCAGTACTCCTGCTGGAGGAACTGTACAAGTAGCTTTTTGATAATAGGGTGACACAGGATGTTGGAAGCCTATCCAGAAAGAGAATACTTAATTTTCACAACCAAACAGCACGTCATCCAGCCACTAAAGTGCCAGACATGAAAACCTTACTATCTACAGTATCAGATAGAGACAGACGCTCACTCACATTTACACCTTCGGGCAAATCTAGAGTCACTAGTTAACCTAACCTGTGTGTCCTTCTGCTGTGGGAAGAAGCTGGAGTATCTGGGGAAAATCCACACAGGGACAGGGAGAACATGTAAACTCCACACAGAAAGGCCCCGTTTGGCCTTAAGGTTCGACTCCGGAGCCGTGCTAACCGCTGTACTACTGTGCCACCCTTGCTTTAGACTATTGCGTTGGCTTCTGTAGGATGTTTTTACAGGATTTCTACCTCTGTCTCTCCACAGGTCCACAAGTTGACCATGATGCACCCTTTGTATATGGTAAGTAACTAAAGCCTTGAAAGTGTATCTGCTGTAAAGGAATAGGTGAAATACTGAACTTACTGTAAGCCTCTGCTCTAAAAAGCTAATCTAGAAAGCAAGCACAAGATAGCAACACAGGTTAGGTGGGCAAATAAAGGGGTATGTGAGAGATGGTGGAAAAAACAGGAGGGAACACAGAGACAGATGGAAAACGTGAGTGAGAGTGGAAGACAAAAAGAGAGAAAACAGAGTGGTGGAAAAGTGTAAAGAAAAGTAAAAGGGAAAGATGGGGTAAAGAAATCAGAGAGAACTGGGGGTACTGTTACAGCGTTCATGGGTGTCCTGTGTGAATTTGTAGACTACGAGACACTACGTGTTGGAGGCCTGATCTTCGCTGGGGTCATTGTGGTGCTTTCCATCCTCCTGTTGGTAGGTAAGTCACCAGCCGCATCCTGGGTATGTGTGTATTTGTGTGTTTTGTGTTACTGTATTTCAGTGAAAGAGAAGTAAGAAGTGCGATGCAGTGAGTGAAAAAGGTGTGATGGGTGTGTGCATGTGTGTGTGTGTGAATGCAGAAAGCTTCTGTCATACAGTATGCTGTCAGAAAGACAGGCTTAATGCAAACAAAGGTGGCTCTGAATAATACAGTAAGTGGACTGAAAATAAAAACCTCCATTGTGTACATAAGGCTAAAGTGTATCTTTGCTCCCATCTTACTGTATGTTTCCATCATGGTTGTTATCAGAGCAGCTTTGAAAGCACAACAGTTTTGAACTAATCACCTGATTTCATTTTTCTTTAAAGGCAACAAATTCAAAAACTGTGGCAAACCAAAGGTAAGGGAGCTGTGGACAAACAGCTTCAATAAAATATGAGATGACACCTGCTGGTCATTACAAGACAATACATCATTTTAACTTTGAATGCTTTCAGGTCAAACGTGACATGTTAATCTTTGGATAAGGATGATCACTTTGTTTTGGCTAAGTATGTTAGACACACAAAGAATTTGTTTCCGGTACAGCAGCTTGTGCATGAGCTGAAATGAATAAACAATTAACAGGCACAATCCAGAGGTAAAAATTACAGCTGCTGTTTTATTGTCTACAGCCAAGACGTGTTAAAGAAGAAGTGTAAAGTGTACAGAGCCAGCCAGGATCCCAGGGGACTGCAGAATGTGCTGCGATGCCATTAGCTGTTATATGTGTAAGACTGTAAGGCTTTTGTGTTAATAAAGTGTATGTAACCATGATGTGTTTGTTTGTTGGATATCACTGATGGATCTGGATTTGAATTCTCTTGCAAATCAGTACAAATAAAAATCTTTGTATGCCCTCTTCTGGTAGTATCTGTACTATTACAGGCAACACCTGACATTTTTTCTGTGAATGTTTAAGATTCAGTAGAGTTTCATTTTGTCATTTTCTCTGACTACAACATTACAGTTGTGCAACCAGTTGGGTGCCAAGTCATTTAGAGATATAAAAGTAACATTATAAAGGACCAAATATAAAACAAGAATACAATAAACCAAACTATACCATATAAAACAACGATGCAAAAGTAACAAAATATACAGTAAAATATCAAAACAATATAAAAGTGCTCAATGTACAATGTGCAAATGCAGTAAGAAATGTAGCAGGTAGACAGGAATTGGATAATAAGGAGGGAATAGCCTACTGTTAGGTATAAAAATATGAATACTACAGAGCTGCTAGGTCCCTAGCAAAAGACTCACCTGATGTTGTCGTTCGCAGATGAGGATAAAACAAGCGCCCCTGCCTGGAAAGGAAACGCCCACTCAGGTGGGAGAAAATGGTTATACAGTACTTCCGCCTTGTGTTGTGTGTTTCCCTTTAGGTTTAGACAACAGTCATGTGTTGTGTGCGTCTCGTGAGTGAGCGCTTTCTCCTGCAATAGTTTATTTGCTTGAATTATCAGTCCAGTTTCTGGTATTTGATTAGTATGTTCATCTTTTTGTTCTCTCTCTGTAGAGCTTATACTGCAATAAAAAAAACAACAACAACAAACAAGAAGTCTGAGAACATTAGTACTCTAGTACCCATACGTTTATTTAGGCTTTATAAAAAAGAATTTTCATCATTTATTTCCAAAAAACAAGGGTTGTAAAAACGTATCAACGTCGGTTATAGATCCTTGAACTTGTGGTAATAAAAACGACCACAAGGTGGCGTCATACGTCCAGCGTGAGGGCAGGAAGAACCCCGACCACTGTTCTCTAACTTATAGACCGAGAAGACGTCAGATCTGCTGACAGGAATCAAAAGACACCGAATACTGTGGGAAAAGAACAAGTAGGTGGAAAAATTGCTTGCAATCAGAATTTCTTAAAAGATAATCACAGATAGGCCTACTATCACGAAATTAGAGAGCAGTCCCGGAAATGTTAATGCTGCAGATTATCACAGAGAT